AATAACTAATAACAAATGTGAAAGTGCTTTATAAATTGTAAAGTTCCATATAACCATAACAGGACACTAATAACGATTATAAAGAAAGGCAAAATTTCCTTTACAGGTCAGACTGGAAAAATGTTCATGTTGTGAGGTTGTCAGGCAGTGATCCTGAGTGGCAGGCACTGAGACTTCTGCTGAGCAAATCTCATTCTTTTCTCCTCCCACCTGCAGGCCAGTTCCTCCTGACTTTCAGCAGACCAACTTCCTTATAGATATCCTTTTCTCACTCTGTTGCCCAGGCTGGAGTGAGGTGGCTCAATCTTGGCTCACTGCAACCTCCATCTCCCAGGTTCCAGCAATTCTCCTGAGTAGCTGGGACTAAGGTGCATGCCACTATGCCTGGCTAATTTTTGTATTTTTAGTAGAGACAGGGTTTCACCATGTTTGTCAGGCTGATCTCAAACTTCTGACCTCAAGTGATCTGCCCTCCTCAGCCTCCCAAAATGCTGGGATTACAGGCATGAGCCACTGCGCCCAGCCTAGACATCCATTTTTATTAATAATCACACTCTCCTCCCATGCCTTACACAAAAACCCTTCATGGACCTTCTTTCTCTTTTGAAAATTTTTGAAATGCTAAATTGGATGTGAATGAACTTCATCTTTCAAATGACAATATAGATTCTCAACATTTCAAGGGATTTTTAAGTAGCCAGTAGGAGTCCACCAAATCTAGAACTGATGGCATCTTCTCAAGACACAGGTCACTTTCTGCCCTGCTCAGTGATGTTTTGTCACATACACTCACCCATAGATGTATCTTAGATACACAATTCTCTGGTGAGTGTGCCTCCCAAACCCCTGGATATACAGATCACACCTCAGAGAAATAATCTATGTTTAATTGGAGGGCAGGGAAGAATAAATTCAGTAATTTCAAAATATTTGTCATTAACAATTTTTTAAGTGCTTCTCACCAACTTCAAAGATGTACATGCAATTCTTTTATTTTCCTCTAAAAACACCAATGCCCAAAGCCTCCAGGGTTTGGATCATAAAAGGGTTTGGATCATGATTCCTTCCGCCATTCTGCATCCCAGCTCTCTGTCCTGTTGTGACTTCTCAATATTTGAAAATATAGAACTGATTAATTAGGAATGCTGGGGCTTGTCTGACCCACATCTCACCTGACTCCCCACTCCCTTGGAATTCCATTCCATAGTCAGAGGAAGGAATATCAACGTCAGAAAACAAGGTTTCCCTGATATCCAACCCGAAGTTTCCTTCTACAAGTATGATCCGATTACTTCCATGGGCCACGCTAAATAACTCCTCTCCTTCAATGCCACTCTCTCTTCAGAGATTTGTAGATTGTTACCATGGCTTTCTCTTCATCGCCATTTAGCCCAGCCATATATATTTAATTCTTTTCATCTTTCATCGTAAATCAGTCCCTTCAACTGTTAAATCAGCTCTCTGCTCTTCTCTGGACTAGTTCCAATTCTCCCAATTCACCTCCAATAACTGATATCCCTTCTGGGAGCTCCAATTTCCTCTCTATCCTCCTTTGCTTTCTCTGCCCACTCCAGAAATGAAATGGGAAGGAACTGACAGATATGGGAGGTCAAAGATCAGGTATATTGCATTGCATACATCTCTAAATTGCTCAGGCCTCTCCGTAGTACATGTAAAATCCCAAGTCATGTATCCACTTTCCTGGAGTGGGAGGGAGTGCTTACAGGGAAATAGGCCTCCTATCCCATGAGTCATCATCCCCTAGCCCTCTGCCTGGGTGATGGCAGAAACAGATCTCAAACCACCTGTAAGCCAGGATACAAACTGGAACTGTGGGCAACATGCCAGCCTTGCAGACAGACATCTTTTCTATGATTTGGGCTGTCCTAGGAGAGGCCAGAACCCTTAATACAGTCCCAGAAACTGCCTCTTCCCCTTTTCTCCATGAATGGGTGAATTTGGGATCTGTCTCAGACTTGAAATGCTGATCCCATTTAAGAATTCACAGCAACCCACAAAGAAAAACCATTAGCATTTCATGCATTATAAGGCCTCTCAGACATCTTTCTGTCCTCTCGGACAGCCCAAATCACAAGCAATGCAAAGGTTTTGCTTTCTCCTAACTGGCACTTTTTCATTTTTACTATTTTAGTCATGGTCCTGCTCAGGTTTAGGAAGCTATCTTTGGTCTGAGCCAAATGGACTGCTCCAGGCCCCTCACTACAAGACAAGGAAGAACAATCAGCTCTTCCCTCCCCACAAATAGCCCCATCAGCATCATTGTGTACCTCCAGACAAGACACTTGGGCAGACACTGGAAGAAATAAGCTGAGCTATGCCTACTTTCCCTCTGTATAATTGAAGAGCCCACATCATAGAAGAGTTAAATGCTTTTTCTGTAAATCAGAGCCTATACAAAAAGAATAAACCCATTTCTCCAAACATGATAAATAGCAAAATCAATCCCAGTGTCAGAACTTAACCTTGAATTTTCATAAGGAAAATGAATGGAACCATAATGATATATGTTGTCCGAAACACAGAACAAGGTATAGCAAAGTATATCTACTCCATGGGGATGTCTGCAGTGGAGCCTGTATCTGAATGAGGCTGGGGAGGCAATGATAATGTGAGAGAGGCTAGTCCTGCATGGCCAGCTGCCTAACTGCAGACAGCATATGTCCTCAGAGACAGGAGAGACCAGGCTGTTCCAAGTATGATCACCACAAGGCCTGAAGTGCTTTTCAATAGGCTGTCTGTCTCTCTGGAGGTCATGGGGAGCTCATCCAGTTACACTTAGTGTCTTATTTAATCCTATCAATAATCATTTGATTCCAATCCTGCTGAAAAATGCTTGGCCAAATTTTCTTGCCTTTTAATGGCAGAATCCTGGCTCCTACTGAAATCAGCATTGCTAGATGTGTGAAATGATGCATAAGGGCTTGGTCCAGCTGCCAAACGTACTGGGCCACTGAGGGAGGACTTGGGAAGACCACAATGCTTTCCTACAGTCAATAGTAGAGAAGCCCTTGGAGCACAGGCCTTTCTACATAAACCTCCCCACTCAGCGGCTCCAGCACCTTATTTAAGACTTGAGTGGAGTATATTCTTTAAATGAAGTAAGTATGTGACTCTTCAGAGACACTCACTGATAGCTTCATGCAACCTACCTGTTTACAGTTGGCAGGTGTGGGGCTGTAGAAATGAGCCGTTTTGCCTGTCACCAACATCTGACAAGAGCTGATATAGACTGCTGGATTCTATGGTCATTTGATAAAAGGTGATGGGGAAGCTCCAGAGATGCTCATAGGCATGAAACTAGAAGATAATCTGCATTTCCAGAGAAGTCATTTTTATATCCATTACTAAAACACCGGGCACTAAAACAGAATGTTGCATGTATAAACCACACAAAACACAGTGACATTAAAGCCCAGCTGTTCTTTACAAAAATATCTTGGGTGGAACAACAGTATCAGTCTTCCATCTCAGTTCACTGAAGGCACTATCAAACTCATCAGTGCCTCTTAGGATGGACTATATAAATTCCAGCACTAAATGAAAAGGGCTCACTTTAGGTGCCAGTGCCACTAACACTAATGCTGAAATGTGCATCTGCACTCTGTTTTTCTTGGGGGTCACATACTAGTATGTTTTCTGTGCAATGACTAGGGAAACTCAGCTTCTGAATATCCCTGCTGCATGAGAATACTCATGTGTGGGTGTGTACGTGTGTGTGGACAAGCATGCAAGATACTTGTAGCTCTACAATGGGCCCTTTTCAATGCTTTCCATCCAATTAATATTAGACATTAGTAGCCAGTGGAGCATAAGAACTTCATTTATTTCTGATGATGAGAATGATAGAAAAGAAGCTGGGTTTGCTTGATGGAATCTGTGTTGGCTTTTTAAAAGCCTGATTTCTTTTCTGTGCCTTTCTCATTCATTTGCATTGTATATTTTATTCACAAGTCTTCCCCAGTTGTCTTACAAGAAGAACATCCATTCAAAACTACCTGGTTTTCCAGTCAAAGGATACTCTGGAAAGAGTTAGAAGTAAGTGCCTGCACACACACCCAACTCAGTGAAAATGGGAAGAAATGAGGGAGTAAATGGAACAGAAAAATCTCATTTTAGGAGTCTCCAGCAGGGAGATCTGCAGTGAAACAAGCCTGCCAGAGACTATCATCAAGAACTGCTGCTGACATTCAAGCTAAGAATCAGAGGGGAAAGGAGGAGTGGGAAAAGGTAAGAAAAGCAGGAAAACCAACGATGGTTTCTCCCTGGCTTCTTAGTGACTCCCCAAAGGAATATTGACAACTTTCCTTCCTTCCTCCACACCTCCCTCCTGTCCTCTGTTCCTGAGTTTCTCTGGGGCTCTTCCAACAACATGTAAGAGAAAGGATGAGTCTGAGAGTGCACAGCAGACTGGGTGGGGGTGGGAGGGGGAGAATAAATAAATAAAGAGGAGGCAATCCCTGGCAATGCCTGCTCAAGCCAACGTTTGGCATGGGGACAGTTGGGTGAGGTTCCATAATATGAGGAGAAATTCTATATTCTTTGAGAAGGTGTACCATATTTCCCAAATCTGTGCCGGCCAGGAACAAGGGGGAGAGAAGGGCAATAGTTTTGACATCTACTACTAAACTTGGAACCTAGAAGTAATCGGGGCATTTCAACAGTCCCAGGGGCCCAGGAAGAGGGGCGCCCAATTTTGTCTGGGACTACGTATAAGTCCAGAGAAGAAGGCGCTCTGCCAAGAGTATGAAACTTTTCTCCCAACTTGGTTGCTAAAGAGGAAGGAAGACCCCTCAACTGCTTTCAGAGAGAAAACAAGAAACTACCATCTGACTCAGGAAGGAGGTTTGCAGGAGGAAAGGGGACGAAGAAGCAGAGCTAAGGTTTTAGAAAGTGGGGTGGAAGTCAGGATTATTTAATGGTTGCATGTCAATGTGACTAAAAACACTAAATCTCAGCACACTTAGGAGGGAGCTGCTCACCAGTCCCGAAGATCTGGAAGAGAAGGCGGGGCTGGGAGGCGCGGATTGCCGCGGACAGCCTTCCCTCTCTGCCCACTTCCGACGCCTTCTTCTCGGGCATCAGGCGGATCCTCAGTCGCCCTTCGCCCTGGCGAATCCACCAACTGAACAGCTCGCTGAGGTTGAACTGGAGCAGCCCCACAGCCGCCTCCCCAGGGGGCCCGACGCAACCCTCCAAGATCGCCTCCTCGCCCAGCTCCAGCACCAGCTGCTTGGCACGCCGGAGCTTGCGCACCGAGCCGCCCTTCAGCACCCTGGACAGCGTCCGGGCCTCTGCCGGGGTGGGTGAGCCGGCCGTCCAGGAGACCCCAGGCGCCGGCCCCAGCAACCTGAGCAGCGGGGCGCAGTCCAGAGCGAGCGAGCCGCGCGCCTCGGGCCTGCCAGCCTTCAGCTCCGAGGGGGATGGCGGCAGCAGCAGGTCCCGGGCGTAGACACGGAAGAGTGAGGGCACTACGAAGTCCACTGCCAGACTCTTCCTCTGCAAGCGAGAGTAGCTGAGCGGCTCCCGGGGCTGCAGCGGCGGCCCCGCAGCTGGGGATCCCGTGCGCTGGCCGGTCCCCGTCCCAGAGCCCAAAGCTGCAGTGGAAAGCAGCAGCGGCAGCAGCCACAGGAGCCCGATGGTTCCCATCCCGCCGGAGGAGGCCGTTTACACTGCTCTCCAGGCCCAGCCTCGCCCTTCGCTCTCCCCTAGATGGGAAGAAGCTCTGAACAGTCCTCGGTACCCAGCGGCTCCTTCCACCTGATCTCCAGAGGACTGTGCGTGAGGGCAAGTCTCTTGCTTTCCCCTAACTGCACGGAGACGAGCAGGAGTCTCAAGGAAACACAGCTGTAATCTCAGGGGCGAGTCCAGAGACCCTCAAGCACGCTGGGCTCACTGACTGGCACCTTCAGTCTCCTGCTCGCCACGCCGAGTGCCGCTCCCCCGTCTGTAGCTCGCTGCGCTCCGCACAGAGGAACTACTATGGTTGAAGGGAGGTGGCAGTTGGGTACCGTCCTCTCCTGCCCCCCGCGGTCGGAGCTGGGGTCTGTCCCCTCTCGGGGAAGCCTCCAATCTCCACAACTTTCCAGACTGAGAACGGCGGCTCCCAGCTGCTGCACGCTGTCCTGGCCGCCTCCTGCGTTCCTTTTGGCTGCTCCGAGCTCCTCTGCCCGGTCTGGGTGGGATCCGACGACGGGGGCTGCCTTCTCGCGCACCCTCAAGCTATCTCTCCGCTGCGGGAAGGCTTCGGACTGCTCTGCCCGCTGAACTTCTGGGCGTGAATCCGAACCCCCGCGCTGCGCAAGTTTGCAGCGTCCTTGCTGTCGCCCGCGCCTCGCTCGGTTCCTCAGAGTTCGCAGGCACCGGAGCGGCCCCGGCGGCAGCAGCTGAGGGCGTTCAGGGCAGGGGCTCCCGAAATCTTGCCGCCCCCTCCTCACCCATCATCAGCGCCCGCAGCTTTGGGTAGCCGGCCAGAGGGCGGCCGGAAAGCACATCGGTGCCCCGCTACCCTCCGAACAGAGGCGGCGGGAGGTACCAGCTGCTACCGCCGCTGCCGCCCCCAGAGCTGCTGGATCGCATCTGCCTGGGCGCCCGCCACTTGCAGCTGGCGGAGCCGCGCGAGCGCGCGCAGGGAGGGGGCGGGGCCCGGAGGGGGCGGGGCTCACGAGCCAACTCCGCACCGCGGCCCGACCCGCCCCACTCGCTCCCTCCAACCAATGGCGTGGCTCAGTCGGCTCCTATGCAAATCTGCAGAGGCCTCGGCATTCATTGAGAAAAGCAGTGAGCCCGCCCCATCCGCCCTCCGTCCCTCTCCAGTCTCTAGTTCCTTCCCCTCCTCCAGATTCCCTGCCCTATTTCTCTGCAGTGTGAAAGGGAGTAAATGTGAGAACTGGAAGAGGCCTTTGCAATCAAGCACTCTCCCTAATTATACATTTAAGAGATTAAACGGGTCCGACTTCGGAAAAACAGGTTCCAGAATAAAATTGGAGGCGAAGGGAAGGGAGGAGGGAGTGGGGAGGGGGTGGCAGCGCGACACTGGCAAATCTGAGAACAGCTTGTATTAGGGCCCTGAGACAGAATATTCTCTGACCCATCTATTATTTGAATGCATTCCTGGGAACTTAGGAGTCCCGCCGTCCACACAGGAGAATCTGGGAGTCGGGGGGCAGACAGGGATGGATGTTCTTGGTCTGGCAGAGTTGTTCTGCAGCTACAACAAATACATTTCGGACCCCTGTCAGTCACTCCGTTTTCTCAGAATGGTGTCTGAACATGTGCAACCTCCCTAGTCCCTGCAAGGTAAACATTTTAATTCCAGTTTTACAGATGCAGAAACTGAGTTGCAGAGCATTTAATTGCTTGCCCACAATCTTGGGAATGAGCGTTCAGAACCTTAGGCCTTTTTTAACCACCTGTAGTGGCCATACCTCTACCTCTCCCTTTCCTTTCGTCTCTCCTGAGCTGCCAACGCAGAACTCAGATAATAGCTGTTTTTATAACAAGTGGTTCACTAGATCCTCAGACAAAACTACCATCTTTGGGTCACACAAATCCCCTTGATAACTTCTTGAAGGCTGGTTGTCAGGCCTTGAGCTGACTGTTGAAGCTAAGAATGAGGCAAGATCCTCTCTGGAGCTCACAGCCTGGTGGGTAGCACAGGAGTTTTCTCATAGGATCAGAGCACAGTGTCACATTGAACCTCCCTCACCGAGCTCCTGGGGGCCGCAGTAATTTGCCTACTACCCCACAGGAGATAGTGGCCAAGTGGAACCTCTGTTCTCCTAGGAACTGGGCTCTTTCCAGCTTTGTGGCAATGCCTTTGGCAAGTGGAAGACCCAGTAAAAAAAGAATATTGATTCTCGGCATGGCTTTCTTCCGCTCTATGTTTGGCAACTCACTTAATTTGACAGGCATCTGCCCTCTCTCTGGAAGTCACACTGGATACACTGACTTTACAAGTTTTAGGGCAAATAATTATCTCACCCAAGGAGAAGAAAGTATGTTCCTATCTTGGTGGAGGAAGGGAGGAAAAGAAAGAAAAGGGGGAGGAAAATGCTACAGTAGTTAATACTTTCCTAGTACAATATACGTTTGATTTTCATCAGATTTTTCTGACATACCTACTGGAAGAGGAATTTTTATTTGAAATATAAAAAATGACTAAAACTCCAGCCTTTCCCTATTTCTCTATACAATTCTTGACCAAAGGCATTACTGACTCCAGTAATTTGTCATTAACTGTGAATTGTCTGCTGCACCCAATGGCCACTAGGAGGCTGCAGAGACTTGAAACTTTAAATGAGCTGCCAGGGTTTAACATTTTCTAATAATGCCCCTGTCCATTGCTTTTGCACCTCATAGACACAAGAGTCTCAATTAATTCTCATGATGTATACATTGTCTCAAACTTTTCCCAAGGAAAAATAAGTGCCTTTCCCTGTAGATTAGATCACACTAAATCTCAAAAAATTTCTTTTTTAGGTAATTTTTTTAAAGGAGGCAGGAATTAATACTGATAATCTACCAGGCACTAATGTACACATCTGTAGACGTGTGGGTGTCTAACACATCACACAGCTTTTTGGGAAAGGGTATATGTTGTTATTGCTATTACAGAGATAAAACAATTAAGGCTCAGAGAGGCAAAATAATTTGCCCAAGGTAAAACAGCAAGTAAATAACAGGGTTGGAATTCAAACCAGTGATTCTTTTCCTCCAACATTTACACAATCCACTGAGAAAAGTTAGGGCTTTAACTCATGCCCAAAGTTATAATTTAAACACCCCTATCCTATATAATTTCCATCAAAAGGATGGGAGACAGGAAAATGAATTTAAGAGCACATAGGGGAAACAGAGATGGAAAGATAAAAAAGTGTGAGCAATGATTGCTAACACATCTTGTGCACTTATTACGATCTATTTCAAAAAGGCTTTCATTCACTATCTCATTTAATATTCCTAGTAACACTCTGAGGAAAAGCAATAGTACCTCTTTTTTACAGATCACAAATAGAAGCTCAGGGAGGTTAACTCCCCGACAAAGTTACACAGGTAACTAGAGCTGAACCTGGATACCTAAGAAGTTCATGCTCTTCAATTCTGGATGACCTCACAATAGAGAAAATGAGATGAGGTAAAATGGAATGAGGTGAGCCAAGATCAACAGAGGAAGAAGCTGACAGATCAAATCAGAGAGATGGGGAGTGGACATGGCATAGATTCTGACATAGATACTGGAATCCCCAAGAGACAATTAAGTGAGGTGGGCTGCTCTGAGTCACCTTGCAGATGACTTGGGCCATTGGGCTGGGGAAGGAGGAATGTGAGTTGACCATGTGCCAAGAGAGGAAGTGGCCAAAGAGGACATTGAGACCACCAACACCCTCCTCAGGAAACTCCCAATTTCTGGAAAGGGAAAAGTGAACAACTCAGTCAAGAAGGTACATAAATTCTCTATAAAGGAAGTAATAACAAAAATGACATGACACAATCAGCAACGTGACTTAAGGTAAAACACATCTCACAACTGCAAAATCTGATTAGGACCTATAGGATCAATCAAGTTAGGCATTTTGTTGGTCAACAGATACTCCTTGTGTACCTAATGTATACAGGATGTTGTTCTACGTTCCAGGAATTTTTTGCTCTGGACAAAATAAAAGGTCCTTCACCTTCAGAAGCTTACACTCTAACGATGAGAGACAGATGATAAATGTGCAAGCACATAAAGTAATTTAAGATAATAATAGGTGCTATAAAAAACAAAATAGGGCCATGCAGTAGATGACTTGGAACAGTGGGTGCGGGTGCTGCCCTAGGTCTAGCTTCATAGTTGGAGAAGTCCTCTTTAAGGAGGTTAGAGTTAAGTCTTGATTGATGGGAAAGAGGCAGTCAAGAAAAGCTTATGAGAGACAACATTCTAAGCAAAGGAATACCACATGTAATGGTCCTGAGACGAGAATTGGTTTGCATGTCCAGGAGACAGTGAGAAATCAATCTGGCTGGAACAGATTGATAGTGAACAGAAGACAGAAAGGTGTAGGTGCAGTCAAGGTCTAGATCTTCTACAGTTGGATAGGCCATGGTAACAAGTTTGCATTTTATTTTGATTGCAATGGGAAGACACTATTTTAGTGGAAAGTCTCATACTCTGATTTATGCTGTAGACCTGCACTGTCCAATATGGTAGCCATTAGTCATATGTGGCTATTGAACACATGAAATATGCTTAATCCAAACTCAAATGGGCTGTAAGTATAAAGTACACACCATATTTCCAATATTTAGTATACATAAAATCTCTCCTTAGTATTTTTCATATTGATTACATGTTTAAATGATAATATTTTGGGTATATCAGGTTAAATAAAACATATTATTCCAGTTAATTTTACTTTATTAAATTAATTTTACTTTATTTAACGTAGCTAGCATTCTGGGCTTGGCCAAGAGTTTTAACTCTTGGCCTTATCTCTCCTACTTAAAACTGGATTATAATCTCTTTCTGACAAAGTTGTTGTGACAATTAAATATAGCAAATGCGAAAATTCCTAAGGGCATGATAGGTACCCCTTACCTTCACTAAGCTAAAGCAAGTCAGTAATCATGGTCAACTATCAAAAATAAGGACAGGATACAATTGTATTTTGGCTGGGGGAAAACACGTGTTATGAGAGAGAGAGAGAGAGAGAGAGAGAGATAAGAAGAAGAAGAAGGAGGAGGAGAAGGAGGAGGAAAGGAGGAGGAGGAAAGAAGAAGGAGCAGCAGGAGGAGCAGCAGGAGGAGCAGCAGGAGGAGCAAGAGTAGCAGCAGCAGCAGGAGGAGGAGGAGAAGGAGGAGCGGCAGCAGCAAGCAGGAGGGAGGTGAGGTGCTAAGGCATTTGGAAACCCATGACCAAAGGAGCTAATCCTGGGCCAAGAGCAAGAATTGGAACCCAGAAGAAACATTCAAATGAACCAAGACTTATGTTCAGGAAAGTAGATTTTCATCCCAGCCTTTCTTCTCAGAGGCTCTGTGACTTTGGGAAAACCTTTGGCTTATCCAGACTCCTGTTTCAAAGTAGAAGAAAGGACCAAGTATAGTCTTTAAGATACAAGTCCTAAATCCTCTGTAAGATTCTTCAACTGGCCAAAAGACCTCATTCAAGACTGGGTAACAGAGTTGACAGGTACTAGAATAAGACTGTGAGTTTCCAGCACAATTAGGAAGAGAGCTTGGGCCCAATGCTGGACAGAGGAAAAACAAAACCAGGATTTCTTTTAAAATATGCTCTGCCACTTGGGCAAGCCTAAGCTCTGAATCTGTAGCCTGACATTGTTGACCAGTCACATACAAGATATCTTGTAAGGATCGGCATGCTACAATGAGAGTAGTTAAAGTCATTAAATATTAATTTAATCACTCTTTATTAAGCACCTACTATGTGCTTTGCTCTATGTGATGTGCCATGGAGAGAGACTATGGTGAATAAAACACTCTAGGTTCCACTTTTACACTGTTGGTGAGAGCGTAAATTAGTTCAACCATTGTGGAAGACAGTGTGGCAATTCCTCAAGGATCGAGAACTAGAAATACCATTTGACCCAGCCATCCCATTACTGGGT